ACATTCTAGCATTTGACATGCCTACAGTTATAGCAGATTCGATCACACTGGCTATATAGGACGACTTCGAAGGACATATAACGAGAACAATAGACAATTGAGACAATTCGACAACATCAGTCTGCACACTGTATTTCTGTAGTCTTTCATCTCACATAAATTCCTCTGAAGCATATATGTTCTCAACAATCATATGAGACGACATCATATAAGACGACATCGAAGCGGGTATGTTCACTCTGTAACTTTGCAGTCTAGCATCTGACGATCGCACTGCCAAATATGACGACTTTGAAGGACCTGAAACGAGAACAAAAAGCAAGTAAAGATACTACGACAACATCAGTCTGCACACTGTATCTCTGTATTCTATCATCTCACATGGATACCTCTGGAGGATATCAGTTCGCAAAGATCATATGACACGACATCAAAACGGGTTCAACGAATACAACAGAGAGAACAAGAAACTTTGACTTCGACTATGTTCACACTGTGGCTCTGAATTCTAGCATCTGACATGCCTAAAGATGGAACAGATACGATCGCACTGACCATATAGGAAGACATATAACGAGATAAATAGGCAAGTGAGGATACTTCGACAACATCAGTCTGCACACTGTATTCTATCATCTCACATGAATACTTTCGAAGCGAAACATGAATTCCTCTGGAGCATATCAGTTCGCATCGATCATATGAGAAGACATCAAAACGAGTCTAACGCACACAACAGGCAGAACAAGAAACTTCGACTTCGACTATGTATACACTGTAACTTTGCATTCTAGCATCTGACATGCCTACAGTTATAGCAGATTCGATCACACTGGCTATATAGGACGACTTCGAAGGACATATAACGAGAACAATATACAAGTGAGACACTTCGACAACATCAGTCTGCCCACTGTATCTCTGTATTCTACCATGTCACATGGATACCTTTGGAGCATGGTAGTTCGCAACGATCATATACATCGAATCGGGTATAACGCACAAACGCACACAACAGGCACAACCAGAAACTATTCTTGTTATGCCTGTAGTGTACGTTATCCGCGCTTCGATGTCGTCTTATAAGTTCGATGCGAACTGATATGCTTCAAAGGTATCCATGTGAGATGATAGAATACAGAGATACAGTGTGCAGACTGATGTTTTCGAAGTGAGTGACAAGTGTATGTTTTTCGCCCAAAATTCGATAGAAATCAAGACGATCAACGGAAAAGTCTCTCTACATTGTAACTCAAAATTGCCTCTTTTCGAGTCCCGATATTCATATTTTCTCAAATATCTCGAGAACGGCACAAAACATCGAGAATATAAATCGAAAAATACTCCAACACCCTTGTCGACTTTCGCGAAGGCCTACTACATGGAGAAAGTCCGAAAAACAAGTAAATTAGACAATTGTATGTTTTTTGCCCAAAATTCGATAGAAATCAAGACGATCAACGAAAAATTCTTCATAAATTCTTACTCAAAATTGCCTGTTTACTGGAAAAAAGAATTGGTAAGTTACGTATTATTTTCGATGAAATTTTTCAAAGTCCCGATATTCATATTTTCTCAAATATCTCGAGGAAGGCACAAGATTACCAGAATCTGAATCGAAAAATACACCAACACTCCTGTGGACTTCCGCCTACCACATGGAGAAAGTCCGAACATTATATCACGAAAAACAAAAAAAATTGTACGACGTTATGACGCGAAATAATTCCAAGTTCATTAAAAAAAAAGTGAGTGACAATTGTGTTTTTTGACCAAAAATTGATAGGAATCAAGACGATCAACGAAAAATTCTCTATACATTGTTACTCAGAATTGCTACTTTACTGGAAAAAAAAAGGAGAAGTAATATTCTTGATGAGATTTTGTTAAGGCCCGATATTTATATTTTCTCAAATATTCCGGGAACGGCTCAAAACATCGAGAATATGAATCGAAAAATACTCCAACACCCTTGTCGACTTTCGCAAAGGCCTACCACTTGGAGAAAGTCCGAACACCGTTTCACGAAAAACAAAAAATTAGTACGACGTCATGACGCGGAAAAATTCTGAGTTCATTGAAAAAAAGAGGTGAGTGACCAGTGTATGTTTTTCGCCGAAAATTCGATAGAAATCAATACGACCAACGGAAAAGTCTTCATGAATTGTTCTCGATATCCATATTTTCTCAAATATCTCGAGAACGGCACAAAATATCGAAAATCTAAATCGAAATATAACCCAACACCATTCTCGACTTTCGCGAAGGCCTACCACATGGAGAAAGTCCGAACAACGTATCACGAGAAACAAAAAAATTAGTACGACGTCATGACGCGAAATAATTCTAAGTTCATTGAAAAAAAAAGGTGAGTGACAATTTTATGTTTTTTGTCCAAATTTCGATAGAAATCCAGACAACCAACGAAAAAGTCTTCATGAATTGTTACTTAAAATTGCCTCTTTACTGGAAAAAAAATTGGAAAAGTATTATTTTTGATGAAATTTTTCAGTCCCGATATTCATATTTTCTCAAATAGCTCGAGAACGGCAATGAATATAGAAAATCTAAATCAAAGAATACCATAACGCCCCTGTCGACTTTCGCAAAAGCCTACCACATGGAGAAAGTCCGAGCACCGTATCACGAAAAACAAAAAAATCAGTACGACGTCATGACGCGAAATAATTCCAAGTTCATTGAAAAAATAGTGAGTGACAAGTGTATGTTTTCCGCCCGAGATTCGATAGAAATCAGGACGACCAACGAAAAAGTCTCATTACATTGTTACTCAGAATTGCCTCTTTACTGAAAGAAAATAATTGGAAAAGTATCATTTTTGATGAAATTTCCTCAAGTCTCGATATACATATTCTCTCAAATATCTCGAGAACGGCAATGAATTTCGAAAATCTTAATCAAAAAATACCCCAACATCCCTGTCGACTTTCGCAACGGCCTACCACATGGAGAAAGTCGGAACATAGTATCACGAAAAACACGAAAATTAGTACGACGCCATTACGCGAAATATTTCTCAGTTCATTGAATAAAAAAGGTGAGTGACAAGTGTATGTTTTGTCGCCCGAAATTCGATAGAAATCAAGACGACCAACGAAAAAGTCTCCATCAATTGTTACTCAAAATTGCCTCTTTACTGGACAAAAAAATTGGAAAAGTATTATTTTTGATGAAATTTTTCAAAGTCCCGATATTCATATTTTCTCAAATATCTCGAGAACGGCACTAAATATCGAAAATCTTAATCGAAATATACCCCAACACCATTGTCGACTTCCGCATAGGCCTACCACATGGAGGAAATCCGAACACCGTTTCACGAAAAACAAAAAAATTAGTATGCGTCATGACGCGAAATAATTCTAAGTTCATTGAAAAAACAAAGGTGAGTGACTATTGTATGTTTAGATAGAAATCAAGACGACCAACAAAAATGTCTCTATACATTGGTACTCAAAATTGCCTCCTTACTGGAAGAGAAGAATAGGACAAGTATTATTTATGATGAGATCGTTTCAAGTCCCGATATTCATATTTCCTCAAATATCTCGAGAACGGCACTGAATATCGAAGATCTAAATCAAAGAACACACCAACGCCCCGGTCGACTTTCGCAAAGGCCTACCACATGGACAAAGTCCGAACACCGTATCACGAAAAACAAAAGAATCAGAAAAAAAGAAGTGAGTGACAAGTCTATGTATTTCGACCAAAATTCGATAAAAATCAACACGATCAACGAAAAATTCTCTATACATTCTTACTCAAAATTGCCTATTTTCTGGAAATGAATTGGGAAAGTAATATTTTTGATGAGATTTTTTCAAGTCCCGATATCCATATTTTCTTAATTATCTGGAGAACGGCACAAAACATCGAGAATATAAATCGAAAAATACTCCAACACCCTTGTCGACTTTCGCAAAGACCTACCACATGGAGATGGTCCGAACATCATATCACGAAAAACAAAAATATTTGTACGACGTCATGACGCGGAATAATTCCAAGTCCATTGAAAAAAAAAGGTGAGTGACAAGTGTATGTTTTTCGCCCAAAATTCGATAGAAATCAAGACGACCAACGGAAAAGTCTTCATAAATTGTTCCTGATATTCATATTTTCTCAAATATCTCGAGAAGGGCACAAAATATCTAAAATCTAAATCGAAACATAGCCCAACACCATTGTCGACTTCCGCATAGGCCTACCACATGGAGAAAGTTCGAACACGGTATCACGAAAAACAAAAAAATTAGTACGACGTCATGACGCGGAATAATTCTAAGTTCATTGAGAAAAAAAAGGGAGTGACAAGTGTATGTTTTTCACTCAAAATTCGATAGAAATCAAGATGACCTACGGAAATGTCTTCATAAATTGTTCCCGATATTCATATTTTCTCAAATATCTCGAGAACGGCACAAAATATCGAAAATCTAAATCGAAACATACCCCAACACCATTGTCGACTTCTACATAGACCTATCACATGGAGAAAGTCCGAACACCGTATCACGAGAAACAAAACAATTAGTACGACGTCATGACGCGAAACAATTCTGAGTTCATTGAGAAAAAGAAGTGAGTGACAAGTGTATGTTTTTCGCCCGAAAATCGATAGGAATCAAGACGACCAACGAAAAAGTCTCTATACATTGGTACTCAAAATTGCCTCTTTACTGGAAGAGAAAAATTGGAATTTTGATGAATTTTTTTTAAGTCCCGATATTCATATTTTCTCAAATATCTCGAAAACGGCACAAAATATCAAAAATCTGAATCGGAAAATACACCAACACTCCTGTGGAATTCCGCAACGACCTACCACATGAAGAAAGTCCGAACATTATATCACGAAAAACAAGACAATTTCTACGACGTCATAACGCGAAATAATTTAATAAGTTCATTGAAAGAAAAAAAGGTGAGTGACAATTGTATGTTTTCTGCCCTAAATTCGATAGGAATCAAGACGATCAACGAAAAATTTTCTTCACATTGTTACTCAAGATTGCCTCTTCACTGGAAAAAAAATTGGAATAGTAATATTTTTGATGAGATTTTTTCAAGTCCCGATATTTATATTTTCTCAAATATTTCTAGAAAGGCACCAAACATCAAGAATATATATCGAGAAATACTCCAACACCCTTGTCGACTTTCGCAAAGGCCTACCACATGGAGAAAGTCCGAACACCGTATCACGAAAAACAAAAAAATTGCCTGTTTACTGGAAGGAAGAATTGGAAAAGTATTATTCTTGATGAAATTTTTCCCGATATAGTTCAAATCATACACAGAATAGAATTCGTACTTTTCAGAAGTTTTTTATTTTTCAATTCTTCAAAAACAACTGTTCTTTTTTTTTGTTTTGGTGATACATCAAGATATATAAAATATAATACGGGGTGAATTATATAATTATTCAAATAGAAACCAAATTCAATTTTGTATTTTTCCTCAATACCCCCTGTTAAGGCGGTTCACCCTATAGAAGAATTCACCCTGTGAAGATTTCGACGTATATAACAAAAAATTGATCGTATTTTGCTGTTGTCACGAATTCAATTATTAATATTGTAATTAGTTACGAAATAAAAATATAGAACCCGAACTAGAAATTTCGTGAATGAATATATTGAAATACGGTCCATTATTAATTCAAAAAGTGTTAAATCAAAAACATTGGTCCTTCGAGCCGGATTGCCGGTATAGAATAAAATATTGGAATTTGGAAATCCCATCTACTCATCAACAAAAATAGAAGTTCTACATCTTAAAAGCTGAAATATTGTGTAGGACAAGGAGGATATACTATAGTAGAGGTGAGCAGGTGTCGGTTTCATAAATAAAGTAAACTCCTATCTTGTATCGTTTTGTGGAATAGAGATATTCAGTGTAGCCACATTTGAGATAGCACACTATTATGACCTCAAAGTTTAAAAGATTGGTTAGTAAAAGAGAGATAATTAACGGTCAACTTGGTCGTTTCAAGATATTTCATGATGAAGTTATAGAATCTGGTGAAATTAATGATAGAGCATTAGTTCGTCTTAACTCTAGATTAGAAAAGGTGCAACCATTGTGGCATGACTTTCAAGAAATACAATCAGAAATTGAATCATTGAGTGAAAATTTAGTTGCAGAGAATTTAGAAAGGGAACATTTTGAATCTACTTACCTTGATGTCAAAGCGGATTTTCAATTCACCATTGATTATTATAATAATAATAATAATAATAATAATTTATTTACCATGAAATTACAAATTTGATTGAACTTACATTACATGAGATATATAGCACATGGAGAATAAATGGGAGGAAAGCCCACAAAAGTAAAACTTGTGCGTGGGCCGATTTTTCCATCTATATGTTTGTGCGTGAGTTGGAGCTTGATGCAAGTTTTCATTGACGTAATTCATTCAAGTAAATGTTGTAAATTTTATGTACATGATAACGCACAAGGACATACGCATACACATATACATGTTAACAGTAATTTGTGTTAGTAAAAATGTATAATATAGTTATAAGATAAAATAGTTAAATTGTAGACAGTATTTGACAGTAAAATTGTAAAATTAGAATGAGAGTATTTGATTAAACATTGTTACAAATGGGAACTTATTTTCTTACTAATATAAGTTAATTAATGTATGTTATGACCTGTTTGTGTATAGAATATTAAATATGAAATGGTAGGGGAGAGTCAGTAACCAACTTGTTATCAGCTTTTTGAATAGGTTATATGAATGTATTTTTTTTATATCTGGTGGTAGTATATTAAATAGTTTAGGGCCAAGATAGGTAAAGCATTTTTGACCAATTGTCTTTTCTGCTCGTGGTATAGTAACTGCATTTATTCTGTATCTAGTATTATAAGGATGGTTGATTGAAATTAATTCTTCCTTGTGTTTGTATTGTTTCAACAGAATTGTTTTGGCGAATAATTGACTCATATTCAATACCTCTAATTCAGAAAATAAAGCTACAGAAGAATATCTTCTTGGTTTTTTATAGATATTTTTCAATACGCTTTTTTGGATTTTTTCCACTTTGTTGAAGTTGGTTGCCGTCGTGGAACCCCAAGCAATGAGTCCGTATGTTAGGTGAGATTCCACCAAAGCATGGTATAGTATTTTAAGATATTTCAAGTCGATAAAGTTTGCTAGATTTTTGAATTTGTACACCATAAACCGGAGTTTTTTTATTACGAAAAGTGCCTGTTCGTCCCATTTCATGTGGCAGTCTATGATTATTCCTAGATATTTAATTTTCAGTACGGAATTTATGCTCGTTTGTATATTAGTTGTATCATTGATTTTAATATCCTGATATGTAGGTAGATTATTACTGTATGATGTGAAGGGGATGAAGAATGTTTTTTTATAGTTTATTGTTAGGAGTTCACAGCTGAAAAAATTTGTGATTTTAGTGAAATCCATTTCTATGGTATTTTTAAGCGAAATCCAGTTTGAGTCCTCATAAAAAATTGCCGTATCATCAGCAAAGCTGATGATTTCTCCTTTAGTTTCTTGTTCAAAAAGGTCGTTGAGGAACACGTTAAAGAGAAGTGGGCCTAGTACGGTTCCCTGTGGTACGCCAATTCCAATATTTCTTGAGTCGCTTTGAGTTCCATTTATATTGACACATTGCGTTCTATTAGATAAATAACTTTTCATTAGGTTGTAGGAGATTCCCCGAAAACCAACATTCTCGAGGGCCAGAAGAAGCTGTTCATGGTTTACCGTGTCGAATGCTTTTGCGAGATCGACAAAAATACAAATAGAAGTTTGTTTTTTGTCTATGGCATTGTTTATCATCCTTGTCAATCTCGCAATCGCATCCGATGTAGAGCGGTTTTGTCGGAATCCGTACTGTTTTTCTGAGATGACTTTATATTTATTGAAGAAAGAGTTGATTCGTTTCTGGATAATTTTCTCGAATATTTTACATTATGCTGGAAATGAGCGATATTGGGCGATAGTTCGACATGTCTAGCTGATCTCCTTTTTTTTAAAAAATAGGTGTTATGACTGCATTTTTTAGTATATCTGGGAACTTTCCGTCATTGATGGATTTATTTATAAGGAATGTTAATATGGGTGCTATTTCACGACTAACTACCTTAAGAGTTTCAGCTCTTACACCATCTAAACCAGGTGCTTTGTTATTTTTTAGGGTCATGATCATTTCTATAATTTCTTTTTCGTCGGTATTTGCGAGGAATATTGAATGTTCTATTTTTTTCTTTTTTATATCGTTCGGTTGATTATTTATTTTCATTGCCATTTTGTCTCCTATTTCAGAAAAGTATTTACAAAATTTATTTGATATCATTTTAGGATCGCTTATTATTTCGCCATCGGTAGTTTTGATTTTGTCAATCGGAGATTTAGGTTCCTCGCTATTTGACATTTCTTTAATGCAGTTCCACAGATTTTTACTGACATTCTTATTTTTTTCAATTTTATTTTTATAATATTCATTTTTTGCTATTTTGATTAAGTTGTTTAATTGGTTTCTACATTTTTTGAATTGTAATTTATTATGATCTGTATTTTCGTTTTTCATTAATTTATATAGTTTATTTTTTCTATCAATCGATTTGAGGAGTCCCGCAGTTATCCATTCCTTTCTTTTAATTTCTTTCCTCTTCAATACAATGATGGTTGAAGAACTATTAGTTAATTCCGTTATTGTGTTTATGAATGTAGTGGTGCTCTTATTGATATCGTTTTCAGAGTATATGTCTGTCCAGTTATGTTTCTTGAGTTTATCTTTCAGTTTTTCTTTGTTTATTATAGTTCTAGTTGTTTTTGTTTTTACTTTGTCGACTACTTTCTCAGGTAGGATGATATTATTTGTTATAGAATAGTAAAGCCAAGGAAAGGCAATTGAACAATTTGGAATAAAACACCGATATCCAGTGGAATCAGAATATATCGATGAACTCAAATCCAAATAATGTAGGATCACATTCATCTAGAAATCAACATTTATTGAATGTGAAGCTTCCAGATATCAAACTACCGAATTTTAATGGAGATTATAATAAATGGATTGAGTTTCATGACAGTTACTTGTCAATGATTCACAATGACAACCGTTTAGATAATGTCAGGAAGTTTCACTATTTGAAGTCTTGTTTAACAGATGAAGCAAGGGATTGTATCAAATCAATTCCTATATCGAGTGATAATTATTTATCTGCATTCGAATTACTCAAAGAAAGATATGAGAATAAGGAACTTTTGATCAATAATCATATCAAAGCTTTGTTCAATCTGCCATTAGTCGAGAAGGAGTCTCATATCGCTTTGAGAAATTTGCTGAGCTCTGCTTTGAAACATTTGCGACGTTTAGAAAGTCTGGGAGAACCCATTAAACAATGGGATCGTATATTAATAGAATTTATCTTGAATAAAATTGATCTTATTACAAAACGTGGATGGAAAGAATATTTGAAGAATCAGAATGAAGATTTGACATTCGATAATCTTATAATATTTCTGAAGGAGAAATGCGATTTATCAGAGTCATTAAAAGATACTTCACAGAATTCTTTGCACGAAAAGTATAAAAAATCAGTTCATCAAATAAAGTGTCATTCAACATCAGTTGTCCATAATTGCCCATTATGCAAAGAATCACATTTGATTTATAATTGAATGAAATTTTTGAATCTTTCAACGAATGACCGTATTGGAGAGATTAAAAAACTAAAATTATGTATAAATTGTTTGAAAAAGAGGCATTTCGTGAGTGAATGCTATGCTAGAAAGTGTGTTGAATGTGGATCAAAGCATAACGTTCTTTTGCATATTCAAAATCAAAATGATTCCAAACATAGAACTGCTACAAATTCTTTGAATGTCACTTCTTCTGAAGAATCAAAAAATGTGCCTTCGAATACAGAGGAAGATGTCCAATGTGAAGTATCCTTGGCTAGTCAACTAGGTGTCGATCATGAGATACCATATCAAATATTACCTTCAACAGCGATTATTCAGGTTGAAG